AAAGCATTTCCAGCAGGTTGGTGCAAAGTTTTATTAATGTCTGCATTAACTCTATACTTAAGAGCAGATTGGATCAGAAAGAGTAAGAAACACAAAAAAAACTGTCTCAAGCACCGAATCAACTAAGAATCTACCCTTTACCCAATGGATATGCATAATGAAGTTGAGGCGGATTGAAAATACTCTGACATTACGTACCAGTCCTTCGAGTGGGACAGAAATAAAAAGCGATGGGTTGGATGTTCGTGGGTAACATGGATGATAGATAGACCTAATTTCCTGCATGTCACTTTTACAGGTCTCTTTGTATTCCTTTCATCCCACTTATCGATTTATGACCCAACCTTTACTCACTCTACTTACGACCTTTGAGATCCTATTGGCTGTCCACTGTTTAGTGCATAAATGGCATTAGTGCTCCTCAAAGGCATTTTAAACATACGCATACGCAAGCGCTGTCAATCTTTTCTGGCTACTGCTTTGAAACAGGAAGAGCTCTCTCATCAATGTCCAGTCTGGATGTTGTGTTTTTGTAGGCAGGCGGTGCTGTTGTTGTTTTCAAGTACGATTAGGATAGATAAGCTAACGCACTAAGTCTATATTCGTTCACAGTCTACTAGGTCGTAGTCCCGGTCATAACAATGGAGGAGACCATGTGAAGAGGTACTGAAAGATTTCGGGTAGTCTTGAAGTCATTTGGAAATGATGTCAGGTAACAGAGTGGAATGGATATGTTCCTATAAAAATCTGTGTCTCACTCAAAACAGGAACTTCGGACCATATATATATGGGATTTATACTATTTGTGAGCTATGAATATAACACTAGTTCTAGCTATTATGACAATATGGTCACTGAATATAGACTGAAAATATTTTGTCCGCAGATACACAGAATGTATTGGTGAATTCATGTCGCCATGGTGGTTAGGTGTTTTCTGACGTCATTAAAACCTCATGTTAAAGAAATATTAGGAGGTAGTAAAGTGAGGACATGTGCATGTAGTAGTCATTAGCTGGATGATCCTATAAACTGGTCAGAGATTTCGTCGTTACTACTATTTAGAGAAATCCGATAGAGGCTCTTCAGGCAGAATTGGGTCGACATTCTGCAATTTGCCTACCAGTTAGCACCAAGTCAAACTTACCCAATTTATCATACATTCTCTAGGTCTGTCGAGAATGAATTACATAGTTTCACAAGCAAAAGTCACACTGACTGAAACTACTTTAGCGTCAAATTATTTCAGATTACCCACTCTGAGTTACAAATAAGTAATTTTATGTAGAAAATAATGTACTTAATGATGGCCTGTTTAATAAAAGTGTTGGCGGTTAGGGAGAACAGCACGATCGGCTATGAAGGATTTAAAATAATAATAATATGAATGATTAATTGTCTTCATTTTCCGGTGTTCTAGTCATAAGCAGACAATGGAATAAAGCAAAATCACTGGATTAACGGGAAAGTCAACACACAATAACTTTCTTTTTCCTTACCAGACACTATCATTTGTTTATGGTGACAAAGTATCACATGCTATTTTGTCTGACAAACGTGCAGGCAGTATACTTTAACTTCATTTACTAGCTATAGTTGCTTACATTACATAGAAGCAGAAGATATTCGCGTGATATTATTCAAAATCTTGGCCGAAGTCTTGACCTACCCAAAATCACTCAGATTAATCGAAAAAACTAAGAACATCATATAACTGCATGATCATGTTCCGGTGAGTAATACACTGGAGTAGGTGTTAGAAGGCTCTCAAAAGAATAACAGTAAAACGGTTATCACTAATCATCCAGTCGTCTTCGTTCTTCTCTCCCTTTTTTTAAGGATAGAATAATTAGGAAAATGCCAACTGAAGACTTCTGACGGGTTCACTTTTATGTATATTTAAGTAGCAAACTACTTTCCAACATTCTGTATTTTCTGAAAACAATTCACTAAATATATTACTACTATGAACCCGTGTTATTTGTAAGTGGAAAATTCGAATATTTCGGCTTATATAATAACGTCTTACCTCCGATTTGTAGATGTACTACTACACTTTATTTTCGAAATATAAAGCTTTTATAAATCAAATGACTTTTAAAAAATACATAAAGCATTTGATAGTGAATAGCAGCAGAATTCACGAGATAAGTTTAAACTAAAATAGGACTTCTAAGTAGGGGTGAAATGTGAACATTTGTGTTCGTAAACTTCTGTTACCAAGACATGCGGAAAACCATTTCTTCAACTATTATTCGAACTTTACAGTCTTCACACTAAATCGAATGTTCTCAATAAAATGGACCTGAAATTTTCAAATTATATTTCACCATGAATAATAAACGTCTATTCTGCCGCAGTCTTGGATTCTTTTGAAGTGGTCTCCTAAATCTTTGAATGAAATAGAACCTGAGATTGCTTCTTTCAGTTAAAATTAATGAATAAATGGCAATCCATCTTTTAAAGTTAGTTAACTCATTATACTCCTAAAATTTTCGTCTTAAGACTGAATACACCTATCCCACATTGGGTGCACATTCATAAAAACAGTTACTATTTCTCTATATTTTGTGGGCTAATTATCATCCAGCTCGTTAGTTCAAAATAACAGTTCCATATAAAATGGATTGCATCAACTAGAAAAGCCATTGTTGCACTAAAAAATAAACATATATTTTTTGTTGTTTAGTTTAAAACTCAAATATTGCACAATTCTCTGGTGAAAAATTACTTTAAATCCCTCTGTGAAAAACCAATAAGGCGGATTGGAGCCTGTAAACTTTTTAATATCTACCACGGATAGTTAGAGGTTGGCTTTTAAACATCATTGTTTTAATTCCATCATAAGATATCTGTCAAATCTGCAATCACATCAAGGTTATTGATCTTATCTGCTTTTGTGTCTTAAGTCCAGCTGTTTTGTCCCCCTGTATTTATTTCTGAAGTAGATTGCTTTTTATACGTTTCTTTTTCTCTACTTCTGATGGTGTAAATATGTCCCTGTTTCTTGATTAAAATGTATGACCCTCTTCACTTTGGAAGGACCTCTCTCTCACTGGTGTACTTCCATTTTCTGAATTTAATACTGGGATTTCTCAGCGTCAACATTCTGTTTATGTCCAACGTTTCTGAGTGGTCAGTTTTACCCCTTCATCCTTCAATTTTGTTGGTTCCACTGAGCTTTACTGTGTAGCTGCAGCTGTCATTCCAAACTATACATTAGCTGAAAATATTAATTCTTTGTCATTTTCTGGGTAAGAAAACAGTGTTTTAATAGTGTCTCCCTCCATTTCTTCAGTCTGTCTGTCTGGATTCAACATAGAACTTGGCACCGAAGTGCAGCAGTTCGAGTTGCCACGTTCCAAATAGCACACAGAGGTAGACAAGAAGATGAGTGAAGAGAATTAATAGAGTTTGACAATATAGAGTGAAACAGAATGGGTAATGGTAGAAAGGAATATGAAAGATTACAGTGGAAAGTTATTCTCTGTCGCAGCACTAATCACTGAACAAGATGGAGTAATTCCGGTCTCAATAAAATGTCTAGTCATTAAGAGGCACTCTTACACACTTTTGCAATGACAATGACAATTTACAGAATGAGTCTCTAAGAGTTTTTATCTATTACGACATGTACCAGTTTCGATATGAAGCCGCTGATTGAGCAGACTAGGTCTTCATTTATGTGGCGCCTAATGTATCACTGAGCATTTCTTTTGAACTCTTGAACACCTCTGGTCTGTGTTTGTTGAAACTCTGTTGGAATACTCAACAACTCCATATAATTCCAAAACTGAATTGACTTCTCGATCACTTGCATCAGTGGACAGTGTGAATAGTTCATCAATTATAGGCAGTATTAATGTTATCTGCTAGTCATTTAAAAGCTCTTTATTGCCATCCAAACAATTCTCAGATTGAATAGAAATTTTTAAAGTGTTAGTACTGTCGCGTTGAGGTCACTCACCAAATGATGGTAGAATATTCTTCGTTGAAAGGATCTTCACATGTTTTATTCAAATTTGATAGTGAAATGATTTTCAATGTCAGTATTTTATCAGGTAAATGTTCAATCTCTCCGATTCCTGTTTTGTGTCACAGCAACATAATACTATTACTAATAGATTAGATTTTTTATTACTGAAATATAATCTATGTGCCTCAAGAACTCTTATAATAATGCTCCACACAGTCTTAAAACGATTTCCATTTACACCAAATGGTTGTTTTCTGTTTAATTAACAATAGCAGGTCACCGCCTTAGGCGTCTTCCGTCTCCAAGGCCTTAAGCTATCAGATGTGGACGTAAACAGTTTTCTCGCCCTTCACACCTTTAATTCGTCAATCTCACTATTTTCATGCATGAAACTGATCCATACTTTTGCCTCACCACTTACTTTCTCTTAAATAAAAACCTCATCAACGTCTATTATTAAATAAGGGCAAACCGGAAGGGTAACAATGAACAAGGGTGGGGATGTTGATAAATTTATTATCCCTAGTGTTGGTAATGTCATTTTTTATGAGATGGCACACAGATAACCGGTTCTTTTCATTTCATACGAAAGCTGTTTTCTCTTATTGTTTCTGGAATTCTACTTGCATTTTATGCTTTATCTAAAGATGTTTTTATGCAGACCCTTTGAATAGTCGTCATTCAATAGGATAAAACGCTTTTGTCCCTTTCAAAGCAACTGCTATCTAATTATTTGATTTTTTTAAATAAACGATATTGAATGTAAAGTAAACTGAACATCTTTTCTTCTTTACTACTATCGCCTAATTTATATAAAACTGATGTAAAACGCACCAGGATTGGAACTATTAAATTTATTTTAAAAAATAACTATTTAACAATTTTATCATGTTAAACACACAACAGGCAAACTAAAGCAGTTTGAAAGAGCATTTCAGTCATCAAAAATATATCAATATCATCTTCATTGTAGTATATCAATTCATAAAGTTAATTTTTCGCAACGAATTTCAGACTTGGTCTTCTAATCTGCGATTTCCTTGTTGCAAATACACTTGTTGCTGGACCCAGTGAAACTGATGATAAGTTTTCAACATGTCGTCTAAGTGTTATATGGTGTTTAAACACTAATCCATGAACAAAATATCTTGGTGGTTTTAAGACTACTGAAAATATTATTGTAAGTAATGCACAAAAGAAAAACATAAAACTTACAAACCAAGCATTCAGGCATGAAGTGCTAGAATCAAATTCTATTAAGTACAGTATACTAATTGCTAACGCTGCCAGTGTTGTTAGTACAGCAGGTATTGACCAGATATCAACAATAAATACACCTAAGAGAATGAAACACATCACCGGCATTGTTAATAACATCCAAACTGATACCGGATAAATATAACCGTTTTGTATATAAACGGTATCCGGATTATTTGCTGAGTCTATATTCATCACAATTATCACATAAGTAAATATAATGTAAAAACTTGTGTAGACCAAATGAAATTCTCGACCGTTTGAAATTAAACCTATTCTTAACCAATTAGGTAATAGATTTTGAATACTTAATTCAGTGATTGAATGTGCATGTAAAACTATTGACGTTATAATATTAGTAATGTGCACTCCAGTTATCACAATATAATGCGAAAAACTAGTAAATATCTTACGTTCTCTAGTTGTATTCACTGTTCTGAATAATGATACTTTACGGTCATATGTCGCCCTTGGTCCTGTTACTTTATTCCTTTCCTTTGCTGTTTCTGCTACCGTTGTCGCAGCCTTTGGAGATGACGATAATTTCGTTTGTAATGCTGGAATCTCACTAATGCTGCTAGGGGTGGTGAGAGAGTTTGGCGATGATTTAATCACTGCAGTCATGTTTGGAATTTGTCCCGTAATTAACATTACTGTAGTTGTTAACGACCCAATTACTGATGTAGTACTGGCTATAGTTGACATTGCATTCCCCTTTATCATCTCATTTGTAGTCATCGATAGTATTGGTGATTCTGTCACATCCGTTGTATCCATAAAAAATTCTTCTAAACTACGCACATACGAAATATTTCTGTTTTGCATATACCAACGTATATGTCCTGAATTAAAAAAGCACAGCATTGTGTTTAATGTTAATAAACCCACTGTAACTACAAGAACTATGTTTGACTGTTTAACTGTATCAGCTGATTGAAATATTATATAACCTGGTTGAATAGTTATTAGCTGACTTAATAAAACCAAAAAACACTGTGGTCCCAGAAGACATTTGCAGGAATCCACTGTGAAGCTGAATACACTACTAAATGTTTGCATATCAACTGTCACACAATTCAAAAGAACAAAGTGACCACTAATTTCAATTAACCATAGAATACTAGTTAATACTAATATGTAATGTAAACCACCGATTGATGTGAATGTTGTAATGCATACGGTTAAATATAAATATCCTAACCACGATCTTATTTGAAATAAATCATATTCCTCAATAATACTGAATTGTACTCTCCAATAATAAATAATTCCAGCAATTTGATTAATTCTGTAGAAGGAAGTTAATACTCTACTATCAAATCGTTTAGTTACATATTCGTCAAATGTATGAAATCCCAAGGTACGCAAATGATTCCACAGGACACCACATATTAATAATGATAGTATACGGTAAATATAATTCAGTATTATATGCAAGCCGTCTGTCACCAGAATTTCATTAAATAACGCTAGACTAAATAATTGTGACATGGCTATACCAAGTGTAAATATGTTGCGAAAAATCTTTGTTCCACCGTAAAATAACATTTTCTCCGTTTCAGTTCTTGTCTTAACTTTAATATCATATTTTAAATGCCAACATAACCAAGTTATACAATAAATAATATATCCACTGCCTATTATCACATTAAATACCAAGCACGATGTGGGATTTATTGGCATAATGCAGTAACAGGTCAATTCTACACGATAAATAATAATGTATGGTAAATAATATGTGCATAATGCGTAGTTTAAATTAATCACTATTGATCCGGCAGCTCAGACGATTGATAGACATTTAATGTCTGTGTACTATCTAGACATTCTGTCTTCAACTTTTTCCCCATTATATGTCGTTGTAGAAATGGATTTATTTTCAAGTGAAAATGTGTAACTAAAAAGAGCATTTCGAAAAGCATGCTGAACACAATGTTTAAATAGAACTGTCTGACAGGCACTGGTCACTGTTTATTCTGAAGCTGAATCCTGATGCATGGCATCTAAAGTCGACTTTGTTATCAAAGTGCTTCTCATAAGTTAACAATATAAATCCTATTGTGCTTGTACGAAACAGTCTTATGAGAGAAATGATCAGTGTATATTAGACAGATATGTGTGATACTGGCAGTGATAGTCTTCTTAAATGTTTTACAAATGATAGGCTTTTAAACTTTCAGCAGGTGTATATGTATACGAAAAATATCAGCACATACAAGTGCTAATCTGAAATACGATATGCCCTTGAGATTTCATTATTCCTGCAGTGAGAAATCGTACATATTGAAATTCCTGTAATTTATGCTACAACACTTCTAAAATGGGAGAAATCTACCTAACAATGGCATCGAAATTCTTAAAAAATATGTTACTTTAATGTACCCTTTCGCCGAACTGAATGAAGCAGTCTTTGTAAATAGAAGACAAAAATACCGAAGAAATTCAAGATAAGAATAAGTGGGTTGTTTAATTTACACTCTTTTCCCAAATATTCAAGGCCCAATGTTGGTACAGTGGGAGAAGTCCTTTTTATAAAGATTGCGACAAAAAGTTAATACACTCATTTCTCTAACTAAGAAGAACGTTTTACCACGAATGACTAATTTACTAACGAGTACAATTCACATAGACGTTTATACAAGAATGATTGAAAGTGTGTGTTCAATGACCTGGATTTTTGTATTGAAAACCGATACGAAGCTCTGGAAATTCTCACTTTTAGTGAAGAAAGTAGACCCTGTATAGAAATCTTCTGTATGCTCTAATTAAATGCTGTAGGAAACAGTTTATCGTCGTGATGTTAGACTCTATGAGGAATTCAGGAATGGAACTTAAGTTAGGAGTAGGTTTAAAGCGTTCATATGGCACTAGATGGTGATATTCTCTATGTCTGTGAAGTAAGCTCACCTTACCTTGATTTCGGCGATAAAAAAAGCTGTTTAAGAGGAAAATGAAAAAATTCCCAGTTGAACAACTCATCTGAACTACAAATCTTTGCTGTCATTTCAAATAATTCTTCATTTGAGCATATTCTGTGCTCAAGAATACTAGCAAAACAGAACAAAATTAATATTTCATGGTAACAAATATTTCAGATTGGTTGCAACATGCACAGTAGGAATTTTAAAAAAGAAGAATGTTATATTTATAAAATTATATTTGTAAAATCTCAACGAAATTGAAATGATTAACTCCAACGTTTCGTTCGACAATCTGGTCCGAACTTCTTCAGGGAAATTAATCGAAATTAACATAACAGAGATTTATATATAAAAGGAATATCTCTTGTTTGTAAATAGGTAGAGTCTAACTTAAACGAAAATTATCACTTACTTCAACTAGACTTAAAACAGGTATCGAATGTAGAAAAAGCTTCATTCAATGACTCCACAGACTCCACTGGAAATTTTCGACTGAATAGGTGAAATATTTAATCGACGGGCGCAGTGATTATTTTTCATGGACTCCACATGAACATGTTAAACATTGAATGAAGCAAACGTTACAAAATGTTCATAAATGCTATAGAATCTCGAGAAGATTGGAAAAGATGGTAAAGGACTAGATCAATTAAACGACAAGTACTGAAGTGTACTGAATTTTCAGCGTAGAACTTCGCACAAAGTTCAGTAGCTGAATTTGTCACACTTCATAATGCACACATAATCGTAAAGAATAAAAATGTAAAGAAACTATAAAAAAATGTTCGGGAGGAAGGATAATTACATTGAGAATAATGAGAATTTAATAAACTAAAGAGATACTTCGGTTGGACACAAGTAACTGCTATGATGTGTCTAGTCCCTTCTTTGGTGCAGACTGAATTCTATCAGTCCAAGGCTTCCTGCCCACTGCCCCCCAACCATCTAATATCATCGAATCGGTGTGCATCGTGATGGCGAACTACGTAGAATGGTGACCACATTGCAAACCTGACTGATAGAATTCAGTCTGCACCAAAGAAAGGACTAGACAAATGACACTAGTTACTAGTTTCCAATCAAAGTACCCAATACAGTCCCACAGGAAGGAGGTAAATCGCGAGCCGGAATAGTTACTTCTCTGAACATGATTTTCTTCAAGGTTGCAGATACACCTTACTAACGAGTTCCAAGTGGCACAAAAACCAGGTCCTAGGCCTCTTGCCGATCGCCTCCAACCATCTTATATCACCAGAGTGGGAAGAGAACACGAAGAGCGAATCCAATTGCGCAAATAAGCACTACTTTAGGCCGTTTCACCAACGGTTCGCACGTGTTGGTTCATAGCGCCTAGAGGACCCAGACAGTCAACACAACTCTAAAAGACTCACCTGCTTATTTGAATAATAAAGACATATTGAAGCAAAGATTTTTAGCCTTCTGATAAGAACCGATAAATGTAAATATATAATTCCTTATCATAATACAGTTATTTTTACTCTTATAAATGAGCTGTTTTGTTTTGCTCCTGTTTTGTCAGCAACCCTTTAATGTTCAGTATCTCAGTCTATTTGTACTGACCTACTTACTAAACTTTTGATTCGAAGAACCTACTCTCACTACGCTATCTTACTCAACACTGTGTATCCTTTTCAACCTTATCGTGTACATAGCTGGCACTTTCAAAGAAATTAAACAACAGGCTGCCTAGAACATAACTCTAGAAAATATAGCCCCTGATATGCATTGCGTCCTAAGGATCACCGAAGGAAACAGTGATGAAGCGCACTGACTGACATCTTCATACACTAGCCTGAATAATACTTATATATGTGATCACTGGAGCAACCGATAGGATGAAGTTTCAGATTAGCTAGTTTCAGTGTCTCAATGCGCACTAGAACTGAAGCTTTATTATTCGACCGAATCCCCAATAACAGCAATTTATTACATGTGAGACTAGAAGGTTGTATTAGAGAAGGCAACAATTTTCTAGATAAGTACTGTGTTTGCGTCATCTCTACATACGTGCGAACGGTGGTCATCATAAAAGTTATACTTAAAGTATCGAAGCATATAAATTGGAGATACCTACTATTGCCACACATGTGCAACCAAGTTAAATTGAAGACTAACTTCTTATCATCCAGAAAATATACACGAGCACCAGATACACTCACAAGTTACCGAATACAGTTGTCTGTGTGAATTTCTTATGAATAATTCCTAACACTGATCAAGCCTGATGGTCAAAATATGGCACTGAGATGGAGCCATCAGCTGCATCTTTCAATAGACGGAAACTTTACTAGCTGGTGAGTCATTCGCAGTAGGATCCAGCAAGATCAGTGGAGTGCATTGTACCACAGATAAAAATCTACGAAGACTCTTGAAATGTTGGGTGAAACACATTGAAATACAGGTTAGTTAAACCAAACAGCCAATACTCGTTTTTATTAACCACACTGATACGTGGACTGTCTTCAGTTCGTTGGAGCGGTCTGTCTTGGTAGGTTGTCTCTGAGATTTTTATCGACATTTTGGAACGCAGGTACAAACATGTTAATTAGGGTGAAAGCAAATAAACACTGAATGACATTGATGCCTACGTTACAAAGTATCAGAACACATGAGCTATTGGATTCCAATGCGGTAGCTGATAGGTAATGCACTAGTCTCGTGTCCTGAAGATGCCGACTCTCACCCCTGGCAAGACTGCTGATATGCACTGCTGAGGGATCGACTATTTCAAAGAAACAGTCACTTAGTGGGGTTTTTTCAACTGAAAAAATAATTTGAGCCTGAAATGAAAGTTAGGACGTGTGAATATAGATTACAAAAGCCTTAGAAACACAAAAATTGCACAATATTAAGATATAATTGTAAAATAGTTATTTCAAACGATTTATAAATGTGAACAGGGAAAGCATGGAAACAAACTTAAAATAACTGTTTTTATAGCTGAAAAAAAAATTAGGTGGATTAAACGAAGATTGAGGGATAATTGAAATAACTATTTTACAATTATATCTTAATATTGTGCAATTTTTGTGTTTCTAAGGCTTTTGTAATCTATATTCACACGTCCTAACTTTCATTTCAGGCTCAAATTATTTTTTCAGTTAAAAAAACTAGTTATTTTAATTTTGTTTCCATACTCCTCCTGATCACACTTGTAATCCGTTTAGAATAACCATTCTACAATTATATTCTAATCCTGTGTAATTTTTGTTTCTATGCCTCTTGTAATCTATACTCATACCTTCTAACTAACATGTCAAGTTGAAAAATTTGATTTCAATTTGTTTCCATGCTCATTTTGTTCACACCTGTAGTTCGTCCTATCCCTGCGTTTCTAAACTTAGTGGTTTTTGTTGTACAACTGATACTGGTTGGTTTTGAATCCGCCTGCAAACAACTGTTTTACGGTAGCATTAAAACTAATAATCCCTTGAAGTTTAAAACAAGCCACAAAAGTTAATAAAGCAAAATTTAATGAATTCATCAAATTTATGTAAACTTCTCCATCTGAATACTCTACATACAGGGATGTAAAATTGAGATAAAATGCTTTGCGGTTCAATTACACCAATTAAATAAACAGTCAGTTATCATTACCATTATCTTAACTCTTTTTAACATTACTATTGACTATTGTTAACATTGTTACTATTATTAGCACTACTAATATTATCAATATTATTTAGTTAGCAATTCGTGGTATATTCAAGTTCTTCCACTCACTGATAACATCCAGCTGAGGGGTTCTAGCGAAGTTAGATGAATTCATTAAATCATAGTTTATTAACATTTGTTGCTTGTTTTAGATTCGTATCGGGAAATAAATGTTTCCTATCCCTTGAAATGTTGAATATTATCTTATAAGAAAAATTCTCAAAACAAAATATATTTGTTGACATATTAGTGGCATTTAACATAACATAACATAACATAACATACTACACAAAGAAAAGCCTATTCGGACTTCTAGCCTAATTCTTAAAAATTGTTATTGATGGTTAAATTGTGCTTCAGACTATTAGTTTACTGACATGTTCGCAATATTCTTTATTATGGTTAGGCTGACGTTTTTTAAAACCGACAGATTGGGAAATAATAGACCAATGATCTTAATGCCTCAATAGGCACAGTAAGAGTTTTGCTATTGGATCGTCAAGGTCTTTTCTACTGTCTGCAACAGTGCAATAGGTTGATAGTCAGAACATTACAAAAGAGATCGATAGCATATGTCACCTTCAAATTTGTTATCCAGCTGACTCTGCCCTAGTTATGAAGCTTATAAGTATATACTATCGTATGACAGGTCTTCACTCGTAAAGCGCAACAGTTTCTTTCACCAAAGTAAGTTTCTGAAATTCGCAGATTTTAATGTTAAGTTTTCATAAAATATTTTAACTGATAGTGAAATTGTCTGGATTGACTTTGGATAATCGTGATGACTGAATTAAAATGATGAAGTGTCTAGCGTCAGATTCTCATGGCTACATGAGCCTTGAGTGCCGGTCCTGTAGTTTACAGACTGGTGGTGTGAATCCTTCTGTAACTCAGTTTCTCATTTCTCTTTAGCCTTTATTATGATTCACGGAAGCATTGCACCTCCATAAATTCTATTTGAAATTGGTTTCACTTTAGGCATGTTTAATGCGGTTGGCTGTATATTGCTATTATTTCCCTATTTATTCCCTTCCCATAAAGTAAACTAGAATAGTTGTACAGTTGTTATTATCCGTAGAATTAGAACTATTCAGTAGCGTGTTCTCAAAACACCAACTTTCGTACAGTAGTATTTAGGTTATTCTTAAATTGTTGTGAAGTACGATTGATCTCTTTAAGAGAATAATGTTAATTCTTTACTTGCAATCCTCTGTTCTATGTCTTTAGTAATCATGAGCATAAGTAGTCAAAAAGATTTTGTGGCAACAAAAGACCTCAATAGTGTATAACTATTGTGTTAACTTTCTTCTGACTTGACTTTGCTTCGACAGTTCATTAACTCTAAGTACTCTGTTTCAGCAGATTTTGCCATTGTCGATATCTTTTGAAACATTATTCGTCTGTTGTAAGACTTATTTTGACTATCTGAAAGAATTTTCAGTGACCAAGATTATCAGATTCTTTGTATAGTAATGAAATTTTAAGCTATGTACATGGCATACCTTAGTGTCCATAATCTCTATATTATTAGAACAATAGAGATTTGTAGCTTGGAATGGGCATCGTGATAATTTATTAGACTCTAAGACTTGATCATTTTCGAGCATTTTTTCTTATATTCAGCCTAATATAAAATTCTTCTTTGATAAAATGAATACTTTATTTTCAGCAATTTATAGTGTTTATCGCTAGTTTATTGAAGCCTGTTCTACATCAGCACGACTGGCACAAAACGTTTGAATGTACTTTTTTTGTTTCTGTTATATTTGACTTTTTTTTAAAGAATCAGTAGTTAATTCATTGATGTTCTCCAGTGTTTCAAAGGGAGTGACCTATTTGTCATTACTAAATGAGTAGACCTACATGCTGCATGTGATTTATGATGATAACTAAAATACAAGCTTGTAGATTAACTGTAGTGCTTAGAGCTAGTTGTTTAGAAACATGAATTTTAGTAATTTCAGCATACCCTCGTTGTGTTTTGAATAAAAGAGAGATTTTAGGCTAATAATTCGCTTTCGATAACTTCTTCTTTAGACTATACAATGTTATAAATTCATGAACACTTGAATACAATTGCCAGTATGAGAGAATCAAAAATTATAACAGGTTGGAATAATAATCCTTTGGATAAGACTATTAATTGAATGTATACTAAACGAACAGTCATTAAAAACATAAGATAAAATGTGAATAAATAATTAAGTGATTTGTTTTGGTTTGTATAACATAAGTTGCAAAGGTGAGTTGTATTCAGCGATGTTACAGAAGTATTAATACCACAAAAATATAAGCAAACAAATGTAGAATGACAACAATGATAATAGTTATGATAATATAGTGGTCATGTAATGAACTGCAGTCAAATAATAAAGACAAGGTGGGCTTTTGATCTGACACTCGTCAGTAAGTAACTAGCGTTATGTGTCTAGTCCTCTGTTTGTTGCAGACTGAATTCTATCAGCCACATTGGCAATGTGGTCACCATTCTACGTGGCTCGCCATCACGGTGCACTAGTATCAACAAGATAAGCTTAGTGTTAATCCAGGAACTGACAAATAATAATGGTGATAAAGTTTTAAACTAGGTGGAAAGGCGTAAGAAGAACATACTTAATAAGACAAGAAAATATGAGATTTTAGTAGAAAAGAGTAGCGTCAGAATTTTCCCTAGGTTCTCAATACTTCTCATTTCAGAAGAATGACAGCATGATAATAAACAGTGAATTAAGGACCAAGAACATTAGAAGTATGAGGTGAGACACGCCTGTTGTAATTTCTTTTTTTTTAACATACCTCTGTTGATAAATTGGAAAAGAAAGAAAAAGTTAAAAGCTGCTTAATGTTTATATTAATTTTCCCTCTTTGAAATGTATGCCAAAAGTTTATTTCGGTAACACTGTTTCAGAAATTCGTTGGTAGCTAGCTACCTTCGGGCATAATTATTCTTTTTAGAGTATACAGACTGTTCACCTAATAAGATTTATTAGAAATAATCTTATATCACATAGGACTAATGAATTAACATTAAAGCTTCTGATCAAAATCAAATTTTAATCATCAATCTACAGATCATCAGGTCCATGTGAGGTGAGAGTGGTACAAACGTGTGATTTCTGAATTTATTTCTAGACTTTCAATGGGATAGTATAATTTCACATACAAAGTCAGATGTGATGAAATTAGATTCTGTAGCCATTTTTGTGTTATCACTATCAAGTGTATTTGTAATAAATTGAGGTAATCCTGTCTTTATCTTATATTCATATGAAGTCACACCTTTTGAAAACTACATCTACTATAGCACACTGTAGACTCAAACTAATATTTGTATAAAATTATTAGGGTTCATGAAGGTTGTTTTACTGATGTGTAAAGTAATACAAGCGAAATGAATCCCAGTGTCACGCATATTACCTTCACGATATTAGAGTAAGTACAGTAAGTAAATTCGGTAAAACACAAAATAATCGAGCAAAGAATATTCTTTTCGATAAATTCCTCCTCTTCCGGCTCAACAATTATATGTATGTTTATATACACAGAATGGTCTAGATTAGTAGTTGATAACAATATTAGTGTTTTTTAAATAATATCGATTTGTAAAGTATGATCAATGCAATTACAGTTCACTAAAGATACTTAAATTATAATAGTACTAAAGATATAATAGCGAATAGAATATCAACTAAAATTAGGGAAATTCTACAAAAATTCAGGATAATTCAAACCTGGATGGCCAAGGTAATGATAACATCTGAACTAACTTCTTTTGGATGCATAAATTAGGCTTGTTAATATGGATCCCCACAGCCAGCCTCAGCAATATTTAGTAGTCGAAATCTTAAGGCAAAATTGAGATTCGTAGGTATGTGGTAAATGACCCTGAAAGCATGTTTAACTTCAGTCTTGTGTTCTGTCTCCACAAAATCCATTCGTAGCGCTATTTTGTCTCATCTTGTGGAGACAGAACACAAGACTGAAGTTAAACATGCTTTCAGGGTCATTTACCGCATACCTACGAATCTCAATTTTGCCTTAAGATTTCGACTACTAAATATTGCTGAGGCTGGCTGTGGGGATCCATATTAACAAGCCTAATTTATGCATCCAAAAGAAGTTAGTTCAGATGTTATCATTACCTTGACCATCCAGGTTTGAATAATCCTGAATTTTTGTAGAATTTCCCTAATTTTAGTTGATATTCTATTCGCTATTATATCTTTAGTACTATTATAATTTAAGTATCTTTAGTGAACTGTAATTGCATTGATCATACTTTACAAATCGATATTATTTAAAAAACACTAATATTGTTATCAACTACTAATCTAGACCATTCTGTGTATATAAACATACATATAATTGTTGAGCCGGAAGAGGAGGAATTTATCGAAAAGAATATTCTTTGCTCGATTATTTTGTGTTTTATAAATTCGTTAAAGGCAAATTTCAATGTCGGTAATAGAATAACTTGAAAAAGAGCAGCAAATTGTAAGTTCACGTTTTCACTCATTTATTTACTACAATCATCAGCATATTGCATCTATTCTCAAAACTTTTTCCATGCGTATTTTTACCTCTTATTTTACTGGTCATTTGTTCTTCCATTTAAGCCGTTAACATGTCATCTTAGAAATATAATCACACTTAAATGATAAAAAGGCATTCAGGTAGCTTATATCGGTTGACGACGGAATCTATCTTGAAATTAATGTCTTAATTATAATCTATGACTCATTAAGGGAATAAGTTAGAGATGATTTTCCTAAGTCTTCAATAAAAAACTTAACCAGTGAGGTTCACCATGAGGATTATGAAACACTTATTCAGCACTCCCTCATATTTGAGGTTGTATAACTAATTTCGATTTGTGAGGAATCTGACTTCAATAAAATCAACTACTCACAAGACCGAAACTCGATTTATAGTCTAGTATTTTAACGTGTCTGAAATATGCTAACCCTAATTCTAGGTGTGCTTATTGTGATTTTTTGTAATATAAGTAGCATAATCATAAGAATGAAATAATTATTATGCCTGCCACAATAATGGAAAATTAATTTATCAACCATTATTAGCATACTCACTATAAATTCATTGCTTTTTCACACCAGAAGGCTTTTGAACGAATAGTCACGCTGGTCAAACTGAAGTGCATAAAATTCCTGGATTGTTTCTCCTTACAACTATTGTATGCAGTTAAGGAGTATATCATCAGTCAATAGAATATGACATGCTTCAGTAACAGCGAAGCATAGTTTGCGGACTCTGTAGAGGCTGTGAACTCATTTACTGCGCATCAAGCGAGAAGCGGCGAGTGGGACGTCCAAGGGTGACATGGAGGAGATCGTGTGAAGAGTAGTTAAAAGAATATGGACTAACATGGATGCAGGTGAAAAATACAGTAGAAGACCGAAGCCAGAGGAGACGTGCAGTTGAAGCCTTATGTTCCACTAAGAACCCAAAGGAGAAATAATAATATTGATTCTAGTTAACGTAAAACTAGTAAGTAATGGTAGATTGAGTAGCTACCTCGTGACAGTAATCGACTGTGGGAGGGTATGGTCAACCCAAGCATTTATATCCACAGTACGATGTTCTCTCTTGAGAATTTACTGAAGTATTGCTCGAGTTATAACCGTAAGAAGTAGCTATTAATGGCTATGCTTAAGGATTAAAATAGTCATAATTTTTACAAATTTCAAGTTGTCTTTTTCGAAGTTGCAAAATGAATGTAACCTTTTATTTTCGATGCAGCAAAAGAAGAAACATTCTTAACTTTTTAAACTTATATATTATAGGAAGTTTTCAATGATCGGCAGCTTAAAGCTAATAAGACCTTGTTCTCCTTTCTTAGTGGCCATATTGCTAGCCTAATGTTTCCACTATGTTTAGACCTCGGCACTAAGATATTAGTTATTTAATACTTTCTGAAAGGTAAAAATGCACTTAGCTTAGTACACACAACCCACGTTAACTGCGTAAATATTTTTGAGTCATCTTAAATCACGTAATGAGTTTTTTTATATACCCGTATCACGGTAATTTCGTCGGTAGTGTGGAATATAATTTACATCTGGATCTATCTGAGAAATCTATGTTAGTGCAAAATGTTTTTAGGTATAACTTTGTACATTTCATTGTCATAAACTATATACCTTATTACTCGGTGTTTAAAAACAGAACGACTCAGTAAAGGCACCTAATACAAAGTTACCCTTATATACCTACATTTCAGTCTGGTAACAAAACATTATGACGACGTGAGTTATGAAAACCGTCTGAATTAAAGCAAAATATTATTTTATAAATGATGATTGATTATCTTTCAACCGGACCGCTGAAGTAAGGTTCATTCATACCCAACAGTTTCTACCCACTTATATAATAGTCTCGTCTTTCAAACAGTCTTAGAAAAGACCTGTGTGAAAAAGTTTTATAAAATAAAAAGAATTTGTTCTACTTCACAAAGACTGAACTTTAAAATTAGGCTGTGTTATATTACGTTGGCGTTACTTAAAACGACTGTTATTTGGTAATTAAATAAGGAAGATGTGTTCTTCTTGGTTTCGAATGGAATATTTTTGTTTTTTCTTTGCCCTTAAACAGTTATACATTCTGTATACATTTATAGATGCCAGGAATCGTTATGGACAGGAATACTGGATCTACCATTGGTACCACACCCCATGGCAGATGGATTGATCAGCAACAGTACCTTGTTGAGACCTATCGTCAAATTCGTACTAATCTAGGTCAGTTGGAAGCTGAAATAGAAGCTGCTCGTTTGAGAGTGACTGACTGGACACGACTTCGACGGCATCCAAGCCGAAGCCGAAGTCTTAGTCATGCTAGTGTTTCAACTACTGCTAGTAGTTTGTTAAGCTGTAGTACAATTGAAAGTGGTGCAACAGATGCTTCATTTTTGAATGTTGCAACAGACGGTACTACAGGTTCATCGTGTCATTCTTCCTGTTCATCTACATGTGGTATTCAACTTCCTTCAGAAATGGCAGCCAAACTCAGTGCAGCTACACTAATTTCAGCATTTTTAGCAGCAAGTCATGATTTCAATCAAGAGAAAACCCAAGATTCCACTGCTGCAGATAAACTAACTCAGCCTGTTAGAGCCCAAACACCAGATCAGTTCTCATCATCCAGTAGATCTCGTTCCAACCGATCAGCCTCACCTTCATCTCACTAAGAATAATATCACTTGCAATGGGGTCAACATTCTCAGGGTGTGGGTATTCTCAAGATTTCACGCAAATGAAAGTATATATATACACACTTATATTGGAAAAAATAATCACCATTTCACCGAGTAACTCATTTTAATAAATTTCCTGCAATGAAACTCAAACATGAGAATTCCAAAAGAAAATTCCATTCATTCGTTTTTTTTCATACATTCAAAGTGATTTAGAAGATATTCGAGTGCATACATATGAATATATTTGTATTTTTCATGAATATTTACGTACTATTCTTAAGTTAATTTCTACTCTTCTAATACAATATGTGTATCGTTTTGGTCATTGTATTCATGCATTTTCTCTTCACCACTTGTTGTGCAGCTGTCTTTCATGCCTAAGTTATACACTTCATTACAAAGAAATTTGAGAATAAATTTTTTCTAAATGATACGATTAATTATTCACTTTTCAAGATAATCACCATCATAATTTTCGTGATAGGAAAATATCTTTTAAATAACATTTGCGAAAAGAGAAAGTTGGTAAAGTGGAATTCAAACTACCGAGCAATGAATAGACAGTTTTCATTATACTGACTGATAGGTACTATGGATAACATTCTCTTTTCGATTTTACTGTATCTTAACAGTTGTGATACGTATATATACATATATATGCCACAGGAAATTTCGATAGTTTCGCAAAAATGAAATGTAAAATGTCAATGAGTAAACATTATCCTGTTTACTAATTTTCGTTTTTGTACTTCAAAATTTTCTCTCTCTCTCTCTGCCTCTTTCGCTGTTTTCATCGATTAATTTTTGTTTTATATGTGTTATCATTTTCAAAGAGAGTAAGGAAGTTGAATTTAAGTGTCATCCAATGCAAGTTAATATTATTGTTGTTATCGGCTGATTCTTACATTGGTTTCTGACATTTTTATCTTTGATATAAACGCCATGACATCATTTGACTACTCTTTGGTATCTATCTGTCAAAAACTGTGTGGTCGTGATTACGCTTAAGTTGTAACCCGAGTATTTCTGACTGAATAAGGAAAGCCATGGTTGAAGTGAAAGCATTCGAAATATATGTTTCTCTGAGCTCGTAAACAGAATACGTGTTAAGAAGTGAAATAACTTGACGAAGTAACACAGTTTGTACCTGGTAAACCGTTGCAAACTTCAGGTGTAACGACTGTCTTAGAAAACTGTAGTAAAACAGGGTTAGAAGTTATCAAACTTTAAAATATGTTAAGAGGAATACTCAGTCAATAATTAACTCAAATCTGAGAAGAGCAAATACCTAAAATCTAACTTATAAGAAACGAAAGGTTGGTGGATCTCAGAAAACTGAAGTGTATGAACTAGATAAGCATAATTACAGAAATGACTGCTTAAGTGTGCAAAAATGCTTGTCAATAGCCGGATTATAGCTATGATTGCAAGCTTTCTTCATTCATTGCCCACCACTTCATTTCACTACATGATTACAACTATTCAGATTTAAGGAATTTAAGTGGCTGGGCATATTTGCTATAGGTTATAACCCTACAACTTCTACCTAGATTCGTGTAGTCTATCATGGCTTTCACGTGATATTTAGTCTGCTTCAAAGATTAGCTGAAAGGTATGGTTTCATTGATTTTGTGGGTTTAGGTATTTAACAAAGAAGGGATTTTCTGAGTCAACGAAGTTATTTTCAGAAGCCATACAATCGTGCTTCTGTTTACTAAAACAGAGAACAGTCTATTAATAGATAACAGTGAGACTGGTACCATTTATTCAGTAAAATGGAGGTAGCAAAATGAAATTACATAAGGATCAATAAGATGTTTGAAATCTGATAAGGGTAAAATAGTTACCAGATGACAAGCGAATTTGCTAGGTATTCATGAAAAGGTGGAGAAAAAGAAACTGGAGGCCATTAAAGAAACATGTTAATCGTGATACTAATGGATTGATTACTGGAAGTAGAGTTCAGTGAGTAAGGAAGGAATTTAGGCTTGAAGTTACTTCAAAAAAAATAGTTATTTCAACAGGGATAAGTCATTCATTCACATTACTGCATGAATAGACATTGATAATGAGTTAGCAGTCCAACCTCATATCTTAATCTGAAGAATTTCAGGTTAACAGCCGTAAGATTGATGGTTTGGCTTAGAGTCTCATTTTCGTAGAACTATTTACCACAGTTTACTGAAGAACCTTAATTAGCCACTGTGTGAAATGAATTCAAACATTGTTGGGAAAGTCGATATGTGAAACAGTAGATTTCGGTAAGATGAAATTATAAAAGAAATGTTTTACTGAATATTTTTCACAGCTTTTCATGTCCACTGACATAATGTATAACCTTAAATTAAACTGTTATTTGTACATGCCAAGGCAAATAGATCATGATCATTGTGTTTGATATAATTTATCTTGTTTTTACGATTTGATCACGGATTGATATCAGTTAGAGAACCATTGAAAACCAGGGAGTACTGGACAGCTGCTGTTTCATACGAGCTTGCCTTGTAACCGGAAGGTCCTGGGTTCGAATCCCAGTGGATGCGTACTACGATGATTCCCAAACTAGGATGAAACAGCAGCTGTCCAGTACTCCCTGGTTTTCAATGGTTCTCTAACTGATATCAATCCGTGATCAACTCGTAAAAACATAAAAAACCCTTGCAAACCAAACTATAGAAACTTTATCTTGTATTAAAAAGTGCAAATCATTGTCTAGGATCAGTACCACTGGTGTCTCCCGTCTACCGACAAATTAGTTAGCTCACGATAAAAAGTGTCTTTAGACAACCACCTCCTTCTTAGTTCTATTTTATAGATAGCACATGATTTTCAAGTGTTGGTTTTGTAATGAATTTTGTTTGACTGGCTGGAGGATTTTATTATGTGCTGACATCGGTTAGAGAACCATTGGAAAACCTGGAAGTACTGGACAGCTGTTTCGTCCTAGTTTGGGACTCTTCAATAGCATGTAGCCACTGAGGTTCATACCCAGAACCTTCTGGTTACAAGGCGAGCTCGTAGACCAATAAGCCACTGGGCATCGATCCAAGGACGCATGAATTCTAACTTCTGCCAATACCTGAAATAGCGCGAACACTTACCTTGTAACCAGAGGGTTCTCAGTTCGAACCCCGACGGGTGCACACTGCTGAAGAGTCCCAAACTAGGAAGAAACAGCTGTTCAGTACTTCCATGTATTCCAATGGTTCTCTAACTGACGTCAGCTCGTGATGAATTCATTTAAGATAAATACTCTATTGGAAAGCACTTGAAAAAACGCCTAATTCATTCATTGATTAAGTGTCTAGTTGTTACAAAGACTCTCAAATCATTGTAAGTTTGAATTCGTTTGAGTATAACTGAATTTCAACGGTCATATCACTTTTTACAAGAATTCTACATAATCATATCTTCGGGATTTTACGTATAACTAACATGATTACTTTTAGCCTTTGAAATGGAATGCTCAACATTTGAAATTTCCGGTAATTTATTCTTGATGTCATGCCGTTTGGATGCTTCACAGGGTTTTATCGTGATGCAGTCTTCACATGAAGCATGTGCGAACTTGTTTGTATAATATGAGGTCACCAAAAGAAGTCATATGATATTTAAACGCTACAAAGTTGATTGAAAATGTTAGCATTGACATTGGAAAAGGAATGCTTAGCAAGGAAACACACTGTTATTAATATGCTTCAAATTGCTTTGAACTACAATCCCTTCTAAATTAGAGAAACAGAGGGGATGATTTTTAGTACAAATAGGTAGTCGTTATATCTTTCATGTGGCTTCTTATAGAATTTTGTCTTAAAAAACGTTCGATTTCAGTTTATGCACTGGTGCAAACAAATTATTGTATTTATGTATAGATGTGTGTTTCCGACAAGCTAAACCAACTCATGCTATCATAATTAAAATCAAATTTCATTTTACCTATGATGTTTTGGAAGCCAATCCTTGAACATTTCGTGCTGTGTCCCACTGATTATATATATATATATATATATTCCTTTGAAGAGACTTGCACAGTCAGTTAATCTTAAGTCATGTGAACTGACAGAAAAAACGAGAGTGAACAAAATAATGTTAACTTTCTGCGGTGGAATCATATGATATCTTATAAAATGTTACAGCTATCAGGATAATAATTATCTATTGAATTTCAATGAACATCTGTGAACGTCTAATTACCACAGTCAGAAAGAACTTCTGAAGGCAGAAAAATGTTTTTTTTTAATTCCTTCTGACCAATATATGTAATATACGCAAATACAGGCCCTCACTATTGTTTGTACATTTTGGTATATTAAACTAGAAATCGAAATGCATATAAGTTATTTCACGTGACAGTTATTTGATTGTTTGGATGTGCGGAAGTTGACTTGTCCCTTGACTTAACCAAGATAAAAATAGTACAGTTGCAAATTTCAACAGTAACACTTTCAATTAAGTCAAGATTTATGGATTATTCTAAAGTCACATTACGGTTAGCCTTGAAGATGTTGTCCAGAAGGTCAATGAAAGCTTTGCAATTAGGCTGCCCAGATCAGAGAATACAACAGCATCAAACATTTCACCAATGCAGATAAGTAGTAGAGCAATAAAACTGATTAGATTCTATAATTAGTTTCCCAGTTTGTCTTTGTTTTTATATTTACGCAGAAATGGTATTGGTTATTCTCTATTCAGTTACTCCAATATAGTTATATTCCGTAAAGTCCTTTTGAAGGACGATTAATTTCACTGCTGACAGGAGTAGAGCGTTAGTGAGCAACAAAATGAAAGCTAAACTACGGTGTAGAGTAATATTGTGTTCATGAGATTAAAGACAGAATTATACACTTATATCAATAGCTGATTTAGGACTTAATAGGCACATTAGTAGCCATCGGGTGACCAATTATTCTAACTTCAGGATTTACATTTTCTGGGAAAAATAGGCTTTCAGCACACTGACATTCTTGTAATCTGCTATTATACAAGTCGAT